CCAGTGCCAGGCCTGCTGAAGGCCGGACTGTAAGGACCAAGTGCTTCCCATCCGAGGACCCCCAGGGCTGGCAGGAAGGTGGGGCGGGCTCACCTGGCTCTGAGTCAGAACTGCCCGCAGAGGCCTCGCAGAAGGCGGGTGGCATAAAGACATTGGGTTTGGATACTGTCGGCAGGAGGTGCGGGCAGGAGGGGACAAGAGGAAAACAGCGTGAGTAGGTGGGATACCCAGAGACCACCTCTTCCACCTGGGGGGTGGACGCTCAAGCCCCAGGGCAGGGGCGGGCAGGGGCGGGCAGGGGCTGGCAGGGGCCGGTGATCACGCACTCAGACTCCCCGATAGAGGGCAAACCTGAGGCTCTCACTACAGCGAGAACAGGGACTCAGGCCAACGGGACAGCTCCCGGGCAGCTCTGGCTGCTGGTGGCTGCCGCCTTGTGCTCACACTCAGCTCTCCTTGGGCCCCTGTGGGGGCAGCCCATGGAGAAGCGGGACACACAACGCTCAATGCCTGCTTGGAGGCTGCCTGACCTTGCTCCTCTGCCAGTCGGGGCTCACTGGGGGCACACTCTGTCCTCCACCTGCTCCAGCCTCCCCAGGTGCAGGCTGCCCCGGGCCTCCACAGACGAGGCAGAGCGCGGAGGTGAATGGCTAACTGGGCACAGCGAGAAGAGGCCGCGAAGCGGAATCAGAGTGCAGTGTGGAAACCGTGCTCGCCCAACAGCCGAGGAATCGGTGGCCCATTACCCCTTAAACCTGCAGACCGCACCAGGCGGCCCCTCTCTTCTGCCTGGGGCCTTTAGATGCAGAAGGTGGAGTTTGGCTGCAGGCAGCACATGGCAAGAACGAAACGGACGGCCAGGAGGCAGACCCGACTCCACAGGAACACCATCCGGAGGCGCAGAGACTCTTTGGAAAGGATGCCAGCGGTAGCCGGGGCTGCCCGCCTCATTTGGCTGGCAGACGACAGCGAACACTCGGGGTCCTGATGCAGCCGTGGAAAGGGCTGCAGCCAGGTCCCGACTGGTGTGCAGGGAACGGGTGGGAAATCGGGCGTGAGTGACCTGCTAGCCGGGGCCCCCGCAGTGAGCAGAAACCACCCGAGCGCTGGTTCCCTGGGGGCTGCCCAGTTAGGGAAGTGGAGGACCCCTCTAGGTGAATGTCTGTCTCCGAGGCAAGGCTGCAGATCGCTGGCACAGGGCCCAGGTCAGGAAGGGTGAGGGCAGCCCTGTGGTGGCCGCTCCTCTGCAACCTGCAAGGCCCCTCCATGGGGCTGGCCCAGCAGGGCACGTGCATTTCCAAGGGGCCTCTTGGTCTGCTAGCTGCCCGGTGGGCATCTAGGTGGGAGGACTAGAACAGCCACCCTGACACCTTCTGGCCATAGCAAGGCCAGCAGTCTGGGCAGGAGGAGAGGGACCCAATGGATGGCATCCCTAGCAGGCCCCTCGAAACTCACTCTGCTCCATCTATGTCATGGGGACCATGTCCTCCGCTTTCCTGGCACTAAGTTACCATGCTGCATGAGCCACTGCTTCCAGATGGGGATAACGGGGACTACATTCTGGGTGTGCACTGACCTCACAGGACAAGGTGATGGGGCGGGGCTCTGGGTTGGCCTTATAAACACCAGCGCTCTCAGGACCAGCAGATGATGTGATGGCTAGGTCGCTGGACTCCCAAGTCCCAGACCTGGCAGCTTAAAATTCACATTGGGCACACGTGCATGTGAGCGTGCCCAGATCCCGAGAGAATGAAGGAGGGACTGTGGCATGGCCATCCCCCAGGGGGTGGCTAATTGCTTTCTGTCTCTCTCTGTCTCTGTGGTGAACACACGCGCCCCTTTAAAATCTTTAAAAAAACAAAAACGAAAACACAGCAACCAACCCTCTCACCCTGCAACACAGCGGTAATGTTTTACCTGACTGTGAAGGTGGGGACTGGGTTAAAGAGGACGTCCTTTCTCGCTTGACAGGAGGGCAGTAATTTCCATCTTCTCGGTCAGAATCTGCAGGAAACGGCGAGACACAGAGGGGCGGTCAGGCAGCGCCGTGCTTACCCAGAGATGGCTAACCGTCTGAGCGGCTGCCTTACCTTCTCCACCTTCGGGGCTCGAGCCTTCAGCTGATCTCTGAAACGAGAGCACACACCAGGGTGGTAAGAACACACCAGGCGGCCTGACCCGGACAGCCCTTGGGCCTACACCGACAGACCCTGAAACTCGGGGCCGAGGGCTACCTCTCCGAGCTCGGCATCCCCGGTCTTGGCATCTCGACCTCAGCTCGACCGTCACCCCAAGAATGCCCTGTGTCTGGCTCCCAGGCCAGGCGCCACAGAATCCTAACAGCTGGGAAAGCCTTCAGGACACCAGGATCAGTTTCTGCTTCCCCACGGGTTACAGCCGACCCGCGTGCCGCCCCTAAACTCAAACACTGTGAAACTTTATCTGGCCCCGACGGACTTCGCCAAGAGCTGGCAAGCGACCGCTCCAGGACAAAGGCAGTGGGAACGCTCCGCAGTGTGTTCTCCTGCTCCATGTTGGGCTGTTACTGCCAGAACAGGGGGAGACTGAAGCTCGGGACCACAGCTGGCTGCAAAGCGCACGGCACAGGACCGCCGCCTGCTTTCCAATGCCCACGGTGGAGCAGTTAGGAGGGAAAACGAGAACCGCCCTCGCCCCTGTTCTCCAAGTCTGCCCTCTCGGGGCTGAATACCCTTCAGAACTGGGGGCTGCTCTGAGGAGGCAATCCTCCACCTCCCTGGGCTCTCAGTGACTGCGGGCCCAAGAGCCAGCTTCCTTGTTTTCCAAATGGCCCCTCAAAGGGCAGTGTAGCCAGATGAGGCCCAGCCAGCCCCCGTGAACCGTGAGGGATTAATGAGACGACATGTGTGAGACTGCTCTGTGAGCTGCAGCGCGGCCAACACAAACGCAGCACGGGCGATAAATAAAGCGAAGACTGGGAGCCAGGAGGGCCCTCCTTGGCTGGGAGTGGTGACTTTTCCCATAAAGGGCCAAGACAGCCAGCGCTTTTGGCTCTGAGGCCACAGTTGGTCTCTGTTACATACTCTTCCTCTTGTCTCTATAACCCCTTACGATGTAAACACCGTCTTAGCTTACCACCGGACAGAAGCAAGCTGTGCACAACAGGCCGAGGGCTGGTGTCCGGCAGTGAGAGCCAGGGAGGGCGAGGCCCGCCGGGCGGCACACAGCCATCCACAGCTCACGGCAATGAGGAAAGGTCCCTCTCCTGTGTGTTGGTACCCCAGGCTTGAGTCAGAAAAGCAAGTCAAGGTTCTGGGGGTTCTATCTGTGGAGGAGGCACAACTCTGACACCCGCCACATGTGGAACCCCCGGGGTGACCGGGAAGCTGAGATCACGGGCAGCCTGGCGCTGGGAAAACATCCCTCAGGACAACAGGGTTCATGGTCGCTGGCCAACTGTACAACGCCGCAGAGTCCAATCCGAGTCACACGCCCGCGCCAGGCAGGCCAGCCCCGGGGCCCGCACAGATGGGCCGGAAGGCTGCTGGCACCTCTCCACCTGCTGGCTGGCCGGCCCGGCTCACCTGGGACACACGGGGAGGATGCAGGTGTGCGCTGAGCCCAGAGCCTGGCCGTGCTGGGGACACCTAGCCCCACTGTCGTACTCACTACTGTGGCGTTCGTGCCTCACAACACAGTCACTGCCGCTCACCACGAGGTCACCCGGTCCAACGTGAGACCGCAGGGGACCGGCTAAACCCTCAGGTTGTGTGGGGAGCAGGGTGGGCGGGGAGTCTGGGATGTGACGTGAGTCCTGGGTGCAGCCCAGAGGCTAGGGACCTGGGCTAGGACTCTGGGAGGGGGTTAAGGAGAGGGTGCCACAGCCAGGACTCAGGCTGACAGAGGCACTCTTGCAGGGCTTTGATTCCACAGTGGCCAGTGCCTGGGGTCGCAGTGTCACCACTCGGCTTGCACTTAGCAAAGAGGAGAAAAACATGCAAGGGCAGCACTAGCTGCCCGAGCTGCTGAAGCCCTGGCCCACCCAGCAGAGGCCCAGGCCCAGCGCGGAGCCGCCCTCTGTTCCTCTGTGCCCAGGCCCGCCGGCCTCTACCCTCGCAGCACAGAGGAGAGGTGGCAGCCCCGTGCCCTCTGGGCAGCTCGCACTCCTAGGCCTGCAGGCAGGAGCGGGCTTCTGCATGCCCTGTGCCTGCCCCACGGGGTCTCCCACCTGCTCCTGCCTCGGGCCTAGCACTCCCACTGCCACACCCCATCCTTTGGTCTAGGCTCTTCCCCTCTCCTTCCTCTGTGTGGCCCCAGCCTTGCACAGAGGCACCCTCCAGCTGCACCACTGCGGGGCCTCTTCTGCCCTTGGAGTTCAGTGGGCATTGACTCTACCCAACCCCTGCACAGTGGCCTCTTCGGCCCCCACTGACTGGCGTCTGGGACCCAGAGGTGGCTGCACCCAGCCCAGGCCCTTCCGTCTAAGGAGGTCCTTCTGCTCAGTCGCCCAGTGTCGTCACTCCTGTACTTCACCTCCGCGCTCTCGTCCTGACCTGTGGCCTGTGCCAGACGGCGAGTCCCAGGCCAACAGCCCCGCCGCTGCTCGCTCCTCACCTCCCCCTGCTCGGCTCCTGCACCAACAGCTGCCCCCGCCGCGGTCCGCCCAGCTATGCTGTGGACTCGCTGGGGTGTCCCGTGTGGTGAGGCGCACACTCCGAGTGGCCGTCTTCTAAACCAACTGAGCCGAGCTCTGCGGCTCCACGTCTGTCTCCTGTACCACACAGCCTGGACACCCAGCACCCGTGACACCACGCACCAGACGCCTGGCGAGCCTTGGCCATGTTCTGAGAGGTCCCTCTGTGGCCCTGGGAAAGGGTGCCTGGCCGGGCGAGACTCAGATGCCCCTTGACCCCCGACCTCAGGAGATCCTTGCTCTTTCCTAAGGACCTGCCCACAGGACAGTGACGGAGGTCCGGTCCCACGAAGGCTGGGAGGACAACACAGAAAGAGGCTCCCTGCCCCCGGGACCCTTCCAGGCGTTGCTAGAACCCCCAAAGGCCTGCGCCGGCCAACCGTGACGCACCAAGGAACCTGATCGAGGGCTCGTGAGAGGCTGCCCGGCCTGGCCCCGAGGACAGATGCCAGGCCAGGCGGCCCTGGGAAGGGGCTGGGCTGCAGGCCACATCTCAGACAGCAGTCAGGAGGGGCCAACGGCGCTGTCTGCCTGACTAACAGGAAGACGGCGGCCACCAGAGGCTAGATGGAATCTGTGTGGGTGACCAGCTGGAGAGCCCGGCTCCTGGCGGCCGCAGAGTGGACGGGGAGTAAACGACGGGCCAGGTCAGTGCTGCGTATTCCGGGGCCGAGGAAGCCGGCTCAGCTCCAGGGGCAGACCCTGAGCAACCCAAGGCCGAACCTCCTCACACTCGCTGGGTCTAACCAGCACCGGGGAACTCGGCAGGGCCTGGCCCGCGGCTTTGCTGCAGTCCGATCCGCGGGGCTCAGGGAAAGCGAGGAGCTGATCAGACAGGACTGAATCCAGGTGTGGCCGGGCTTCTCGCTGTCCGCGGGGGACCTGGAAGTGACACGGGGACTGCTTCCTGCTGCCGAGTCCTCCAGGACTGAGCTCTGGTGAGACGATAAGGCCTTTCCGAGCAGCAATGCGGCGAGGCGGGCGCGGTCACAGTAAGGAGCTCTCCGCCTCACACCGCCCCAGGGATCGTGGCGGACCAGACGGGCTCGGGAGGAGTGAGCCCTGCTAGGTAGTGTGGGGGCGGCTTCCTGATCTCCACGTGGCACAAAGCGAGACCCAAACTTGTCCAGAGGAGAACACCCCAAGTGAAGTGAAGGAAACCCCAGCCGTGGAGGCAGGGATCCATGGACATGCGGCCTCGCGACCTGCCAGAAAGCCTGCCTGACCTCGATCGGGCCGCCCAGCGAGCGAGCCTGTCAGTAGGAGGCCCCGGCTCCGGCTGGGTGGGGCCTTCTCTGCAGGGCCCAAGGGAGCAGGCAGGTGGCTCAGAGCTGTCACCAGGGAGTGTGTGGCTCTCCTCCAGTGACAAACGCTCCAAATGAAGAGCACGTGTGCGTGTGTGAGTCTCGTGCATGGCTTCAGCGCCACGCTGGCACGTGCCCCCACTCCTGGCTCGCGCCTACAGGGGCTTGGCAACTCGCCTCAAGGCTCCCGCCCAAGGCTTCATCTGGCATTTGCTCGTTTAGGGACAGCCTGACTGTCTCAGGTCACAGCCTGACCCCAAGCCTGTGGAACCAAGAGGTCAAGGTCCACAGACATAGGCCACCCCAGGCTGGCGATGCCGTTCCCTCAGGGCACTCTCTGCACGGGCCTCTCCTAGAAGTACGGGGTGCGGGACAGCCCACGTGCTCTTCACCAGGAGCTGCCACCCCGAGAGCTCTGGGACCCTCCTGACCGCCGGTCTCCCTCCAAAGCCCACCACCTCTTCAGCCGCAGGTCCTACATGAGCTGCTCTCTGCGAGCCTGGGCGGCAGCGAGGGTCCTAAGCCTCTGGGACAGACTCCGTGAAGGCTACCAGCTCGAGCTCGCTGGGGGCTGATGACAGAAATGAGGATCCCTTTCCTGTGCTCTCCCTGGATGGCATGAACCCTCACAACCTGTCTCAGGAGAATGTTCCAGAGCTGCTCAGCTGGGCATGGGGGCGATGACCTCCCACAGCCTGTGTGTGGGGTCACTCCCAGGACAGAAGTGCCACCAGCTGGGATGTGAAGTCTCTTTCATGAGACAGGCAGACACTGGTTCCCTTGACAGGGCCTCGCCATGCCACAATCCTCCCCCAGTTTAGCCAGGGTCACAGGCATGCCCGGCACGTCCAGGCGCACCCAGGACCCAGACTCAGGCCTGTGATGTGGCTCCGGGACGATGCAGTGCTGCTCCAGGGCCTGCCCCTCACCCTCACAGACTGGCACATGGGAAAGTCCGGGGCTTCTTTTTCCATCACACAGATTCTCCCAGAATGCCAAGACCAGATCCAACCTCAGTCTGGCTGCACAATTCTGAGTATCCTAGCATTTGGAAGGGTCTTTAATAACGGACAGAGGACTCGCTACAGTCTGGGGAAGGTCTGGGCCATGCTACCCTGGGTGATTTCCTGATATTCATGGTGGTGGATATTTTCTTGCTAGGGGTCCTCTCCCCTGGCGTGAGAGGGGTCTTCTGTCATCTGGTCTCTAGACAGTTTTCTGTCCCAAATGGAGGATATTTATCTTTCCCAACTTATTGAAACCCAAAGACATTTCTTGTTCTTGACAGTTCACAATCTTTTCCACCTACGATCTTCAAATGTCCTTTTTTTTTTTATTTTTAGTAGGGGTTTTTGCCTTAGGGCACGTGTGCTCAGAGAGAGACAGACAGTGAGAGGGAAAGTAAGAAATCACACCCCGGGGGGATGGCCATGCTGCAATTCCTTCTCCTCCTGGGATCCTGGGCACATGAGCCCCGCGTGAGTTTTAAGCCACTGGGTCTGGGACTCAAACCACGGTCAGCCAAGTGGGAGTCCAGCAACATAACTGCTACCTCATCTGCTGGCCCCTAAAGCCTTCTTAATACAAAGATAGAGGGCTCAAGGGCTCCCTCTGCAGTCAGAGGAAGAGTCTTTCCTTCCTCTGGCTTTGACTGAAGGCAATCAGCTCATGGCCTAACCGCGGCCCAAACATCGTCAGTCCTGTAAAGTGATCTCTTCTACATCAAGGGATGCCTGGGCTTCTGGGGTTTCTAAGACACTGAACTCGAATGCCCAAATTCGGGGAAGGAGAAAGAAAAGCGGGAAGAGGGAGAGGTGTCAAATTCTGCCTGGAAGGCTCTCCCCCACCGCTTCCTCTCCTGACCGCTCCTGTGTGTTTGCTGCGGTGTACCCTCCCTGGTGAGGAAAATCTACACGTACAAGGGGGTGAGCACTCCTGCCTCTCAGTAGCAGGAATTACGGGGAGCTGAAGAAGTCCTTTCACCGCTGAGGGCATCATCAGCCGTTTGTGACGGCCCAGGCCCTGGCTCTCAGGGTCCCCAGGGGAAAGTGGACAGTCTGGGTTGGGACCCTGGGCAGTGGGCGGCAGCCGGGTGGATGCAGACTTACCCCTGCCAGTTCTCGTGGAAAAGGAGGAGGCTGGGCTTCAGGAGTGGGAGGTGGAGGAGCGCTGGCTGAGGTGCTAGCGGGGGCGGGAGGCTCTAGGGCCTGCTCGCCAGCTGACTCGGGCTGACCTGTGCCACGCTGGGGGGCCTCCGCCTCCCCTAGAGGCTCCTCTCCCGAATCCGACAAGTCTTTTTGCTCTGCAGAGGACTGGGAGCGAAAAAGACAATTTTCCTTCAATGTCGACAGCGGCCGCACCATCGGGCAGGGGCAGGTGGGGCAGGGGCAGGGAGCTGGAGGCAGGCCTGGGTGATTGCGCTGCGTGTCACAAAATGGCCCTCCAACGAGGGGAGACCAGGGCGCACCTGGAGCTGCCCAGCTTTGCGAGGCACTGGAGGGGTGTGGGAAGTCTGGGCCCTCATCTTCAGAACTCTGAGGTGGCCTGGATTGGAGCGACTCTGCTTATGGGTCTCGAGGGAGGGGAGCCTTGCTGGGCAGGGAGCAGGGACGATGATGCTAACCGCCTCTTTACCCTCCTAGAGCCTGGTAACTTTCCCCTCAAACACACTAACGGGGCGTGGGCCGGCGCCGCTTCTGTGCCCAGTACGCGCCCCCGTGATCTGAAACGGGGAGTCCTGGGCCCAGCTCCACCTACTGCTCTTCCATGTCTTCTGGCCTGCCCTGCTTACGCTGAGCTGCAGATTCTCTCCTTGGTGAGTGCCAGTGTGGGGGACAGGGACACCCAGGACTGTCACCCTATCACGGGGCAGGCAGGTGGCACGGCCCAGGTCTGTTCCAAGCTCACCCCACACACCCTGAGCCAGGGCTTCTTTGGAGACCAGCCACAGTAAGAGCGAGCTGGAAGAAAGAAAAGCTGGCTCTGAAAGTCTTCATCCCCAGCGCACAAGACCTGGCCTCCTTTACGGCATTCTTGGGGTCCCAGCTCTGGGGCCGTGACTCCAGGACTTGTTTCTTCTACCCCTGGGGTCTGTCCCCAACCCTCCCACCGGGCACTGTCCAGCCACATGGCACTGACTCGCCCGGTGCCCTAGAGGACTCGAGGGCTACCCCATGCCTGGCAGACCCAGCTGCGGGTCTTCTTGGTGAGAACTCCCGGGCTCTCTGGAAGGGTGTGGGTGCTCTTCCTAACAGCTGCTCCTGCAGGACAAGGGGCATGACGCCAGGGGGTCAGAGGGCTTCCACAGGCTTGTAGGGAAGCAGAAGCTAACACTCAAGTGACTGAAATGTCAAAGGGATGCCAGCAACTCTTGCCAAGCTCTCCAGGGGCGTGGGGCGCTATGGCCAGGCCAGCCACCCATGTCCGCTGCCACTTTATGGCTGGAGGTCTAACACCTCGCCGGAGAAGCCAGGCCCAGAGCTCCGCGGGAGACGGCCTCGCTCTAACTGGAACCACCCGGCTTCTCTTAACCCTTTTTTTAATGCCGATGCTCAAACACCCTCTAGCGGGCTGGAAATGCAAGCCAGAACAGGAGGGCACGGAGAAACTCGTTCACGGAGACGAGGACCAGGGAAGCGAAGACGACTTCTTCACCGTGGGTTACGACCGGTGATCCTTACGAGGCCGAGGAACGTGCCACCGCCCCCTCACTCTGACTTAGACATCTCCGGGAGCAATTCTGAAATGGCAGTCCAGCATTTCCGCTTGGGCCCTAGTGCTTCTCCGGGGCCCGAGAAGCCCGAAGAACGGAGACAGGGCCTGCGGTTTAACCAGGTCTTCGACACGGAGGGTGAGAGCAGCCAGCCAGGCCTCCCCAGCCTCTGGCACCATCCTGAAATACACAGGCTGACAGGGACAGGGTGAGCGCAGACCACGACAGCTGGCCACGGAGTGCGGCCTGCGCTCACTGGACGGCACCTCTGGCTGCCTCCGGTCCTCTTACCGAACCCACGTTCCTCTGCCAGAGTAACCAAAGCCTCCCCACTGCGGTAACCCACGCTCCCGAGAGCGCGAGTCATTATAAATGAAAGAGCCCACGCACGGACTTTAGAACTCTCTTCACATGAAAGAGAACTCTGCCTCCATTCCAGGCCGTCAAGAATAAAAGGAGGTTTCATTTTTGTCCCCGAAATGCGCATACAGGCGAACACCAGCACTTCGCCAACAGAGCCGTCCCAGGAAGCACGGGCTGGGGACGGAAGGAAGCCGAGGACTCGTCCCGGTGTCCGGACTGCAGGCAGGGAAGACCCCAGCCCTTTCCCTAACGTGGGCGAAGGGGTGCCACGCACAGGTCACCTACTGCAGCCAATCCACAGTCGGTGGCAGTCGGCCGGCAGCCACACAAGAATAAGACAGCCCTAAGCTGGCAGCTTAATTTCTTTTCAACCCCAAATCCCTTATCTCAATCACTCCACAGTGACCCCGCATGTGGAGCCTGGCCTCCGAAAGGTGGAGGCCACCCATCGGGCAGGGTGGCAATGTCTGCTTACTGCCAGCTTCACTGAACTGGCCTCTCAGCCGACAGCAAGAGCCTTGATCTGTGAGGGTCCAGAAAGAGTTCAAGTAAAACGCTGTGAGAAACAGCTAGGGGACAATTAAAATATGGACTACAGGGCCAGCAGGTGGCATGTGTGGGGGTGCTAGGTCCCACATGGCCTACTTCGCGGTTCAAATCCTGGACCCAGTGGTTTGAAAATGTCTCTGGGCGCCTGTGCGTGCCCAAAATCCCAAGAGGAGAACAGAGGACAAGGGATTGCAACGTGGCTATTCCTCCTGGGAGGTGATTTCTTACTTTTGGTCTCTTTCTCCAGCAAGCGTGTGCGCCTCGAACGTGTGGACAAACCAAACAGACTGCATCATACTGGCGGGAATCACTTAGTTACAGCCAGTCTCCTAGGAGTGCCAGGCATGAGAGGCCATGGAGGACAGCGGCCTACTCCTGGGAGCCGCCTGTGAGATGTGACAGGACCTTGAACAACACGGGTTGAAGTGCACAGGCCCACTCGCACCGACTTTCTTCAATGTATACTGTGAATGGATCCGCTCTTATGACCTTATAACATTCTTCCCTCTAGCTTACTTTACTGTAAGTGGGTAAGGTGCTAGACTCGCACATGGCCGACTGCAGTTCAAGTCCCAGGCCGGGAGTCTTGAAACTCGCATTGTGCATGTGTGCCTGAAGTCCTGAGAACACAGTGAAGGAGGGAACCAGCAGTTGGCATAATGGCTATGTCGTTGGACTCCCACGTAGTCGACTGTGGTTCGTGTCCCGGACCCGGTGGCTTAAAACTCACGCCGGGCACGTGTGCGTATGTGCCCAAGATCCCGAGAGGAGAATGGAGGAGAAGGGATTGCGGCGTGACCACCCCCCCCCGGGGGGGATTTCTCGCTCTCTGTCTCTCTGTCTGTCTGGCGAGTGCATGCACCCTATAGCGAAAATCTCTCCAAAAAAAAAAAAAAAAGACAGTGAAGGAGAAGGGATTGTGGAGTGGCCAACCCCCTCTCCCCCAGAGCAATTCCTCATTTTCTCTCTTTCCAGGGAGTACATGCACCCTATAGCAAAAATCTCTCTTAAAAAAAAAAAAAAGAATACTGTATATAACACACATAACATACAAAATGTCTTAATTCAGTTTATGTTGTTGGTAAGGTTTTTTTTTTGTTGTTTGTTTTTGCCAAAACAGGCTATTAAAAGCTACGTTTTGACCGAATCCAAGTTGTATGTGAATTTTTTGATTGTGTGGGGTGAGAGGGGGAGGTCAGCGCCTCAATCCCTGCATTATTCAAGGGTCGCTTGTATTTAGGGGAGATAGGTCACGTGGGCACAATTTATGGTCAACTGTCAGCATTTAAGACAGTTATGTTAACCCTGAAGCAAGGCGAAGATACCCAAATGTCTACAGTGCCCTTCTTTTCTTTTCCAAAAATTCAAAACATTAAAAAGAGAGAGAGAGAGATTAAAAATATCAAAATGAAATGCTGAGGCTGTGGCAAGGTGGTCAAAGTGGCTGCACCCCCCATGGCGGCCTACATGGCTGAGTCCCTGAACTCTGGCTTGAAAGACACAGTGAGTGCGTGTGCCCAAGACCCACAGAGGAGGGGACGGAAGAAGAAGGGGCTGTAAAGTGAGCGGGCCCACGACGGTTGCTTTTCCACTCTCCCCTCTCAGTGAGCACATGTACCCTTTAGCAAAGTTAAAAAAAAAAAAAAAAAAAAAGCTGAGGCAAAAAGAGAAGGAAAGCCTGCTCAGGAAAACAAAATCAAAAACCAAGCGGCCCAAATAGTTCTTCCCCACCTGGCTTCTGTAGTGACAGGGATGGGCTGAAAGCTCTGGAAGAGGACAGAACTGCAAAGCCCTCCAGTGCTCCTCGTGGGCAGAACTAGGCTGGCTGCCCCCTGCAGGTCTGCCTCCCGTCTCCCTTGGGTGAGGAAGCTCGAGAGAAACGAGCTGGACGCCTGCCCCGCGTTCACTCTCCATGTCACTCTTGAGCCATCGGAAACACGGAGCAAGATGCCAGAGATGCCGCCGGCCGCCTGGCAGCTGAGAAAACGGCCCTCACGCCTCCTCCATTACCCTTCAATGCACGGATGTTTTCCTGTGCCCTTTCCTGATCTTGCGACAGAAGTGTGACAGGGGAGCAGAGCTCTGGGCACTGGAGAGCAGCTATTTTTAGAAGCCATTTAGGGCTGGCTCCGAGTCAATGTTTTGCTAAGAACTACACTTGTGCATCTTTTAAATGACCTGAAAGCTTTCCTACTCTGCCTTCCGGTTCAGGTTCAAGTTCAACTCCATCCCATTACATAATGTGCACAGACCTCCTGAAGGTCGCACGTGTAAATCAGCTTTCAAATCACACAGCAACAGAACCACCTTGCCTGTAAAAATAACTAGCCCCAACCCTAACCCGATAGGAGCTAGTGATTTTAAACTCATTTAATGTTTATCTGAGCAAATAATACATTTCAGTATTTCCATCTCGCTAGTTGTCCTAAAGCCTTTGGGTTAAAGAATTATTATTGTCAATAAAAATGCAGAAAAAGGAATTATTAATCCCCTCCCCTTTTTAAGGTTTTGCTATAGGGTACATGAATTAGAGAGAGAGAGAGAGAGAGAAGAGAGAGGAGGTGAGAAATCAGTCCCTGGGAGGGATGACCATGCCACAGCCCCTTCATCTTGGGACTCTGGGCATGCAGGCACGTGCACCTTGAGTGCTTACGTCACTGGACCCAGTCTTGAACTGCTCAGTTGGCCATGTGGGACCTATCTGCATTAACCACCATGCCACCCGCTAATTCTTAGTATTCTTAAAAAATTATTTTATTTCGGGGACCAGCAGGTGGTGTGGTGGTTAAGGCGCTGGACACTCCCACATGGCTGACCACGGTTCGAGTCCTGGATGTGGTGGCTTGCTTTCTCACTTTCTCTCTTTCTCTGGTCAAATTAAAATAAAATGAATGAATGAATAAAAGTAAATAAGTAATTCTTTTTTTTGAGAGGTTTTTGCTATAGGGCACATGTGCGCACGGGAAAGACAGACAGAGAGACAGAAAGCAAGAAATCACCCCCCAGGGGGGATGGTCACGCCACAATCCCTTCTCCTCCATTCTCCTCTCAGGATCTTGGGCACGCATGCACACGCACCCAGTGTGAGTTTAAGCCACTAGGTCTGGGACTTGAACTGCAGTCGACTACATGGGAGTCCAGTGACATAGCCATTATGCTAACTGCTGGTCCCAATAAATAATTCTTTAAAAAATTATTTTATTTCACTTTATTTAATTTGACCAGAGAGGGGCAGAGAGAGAACCTGAGACCATGTGAAAGTCCAGCATCCTTAACCACTATGCCACCTGCCAACCCCAAATTCTTACCATTTTTTAAAGTTTATTTCTTCCACAGCAGACAGAGAGACAGAGAAGGAGACAGACCTCAGCAGGGTTTTCAGGCCATAACCCCCCAGTGTCAGCCGGCCTGGATCACGAGCATCCGTGCCTGTGCCCCAGGGGGTCAGGGAGCTCCTGGGGTCCCAGGACACAAACCCCAGACCCTGCTCATGTGGGTCCATTGTGCTACCCTGTGCCACACCTGGTCCTTCTATTATTAGTTTGAAGTCAGGGCCAGCATACTTCTTCCTGCTGTCAAATACGACCGCAGGTCAGATGGTCTTGATCCAAACCCTGCCGAGGGGGCAGCCATGGCCGACTGTACAGGCGTGGGTAGGTTCCAATAACATTGTGTTGACAAAAACAGGCGGGGCGAAGGGAGGCTTGTTCTAAACTAAAACTGTTTCCAAAGATGATCGTCATAAAATTTAAAATTCAATCCTAGAAAATTCCAATTTTACTGAACACCAGAGAGCAATGATCTTAACATTTCAAACAGAAATCTAACGGTCCTGACTCCTGAGATGGTAACATCTTGTTTCTAAAAATGAAGAGCCCCTTCATAGCGACTCAATCTCCAAAGAAAAAATATGAAAAGATGCATGGGCGGAGACGACAGAGCACCTCAAAAACACCACCTGGATGACCCCCCAAAGTAGAAACAGAAAACTTCCAGTTTTCTCCACTCTTTGTTCAGCAGCAGAATTAACAACGAGAAAGCTTCACTTAAGAACGAGTGAAGAGTGAAAAGTTCTAAGCCGAGTAATAAGACCAGGCTAGCACAACGTTCCCGTGTGGGGGCGCAGGGGAGGACTTCGGGGCAGCCGCTTCGCTCTCTCTCTCTCTCTCTCTCTCTCACACACACACACACACACACACTTTTTCCCTAGAGCATTTCAACTCCGCCTAGGAAGCCTGGACCACACCAGCAGCTCTGGCTCCCCTTCTTAGAAAGACAGACTGACCAGGGACAGGATCCAAACGCAGTAGCCGGGCTGCCCTGAGTCCCAGGTGGCCAGCCGGCAGCTCCCGGCGTGGGAACCGGGGCCCCAGTCAACCATCAGCAACAGGAGGCGAAGGGGCTGCAACACAGAAGGCGCAGCTGTCAACTGGCAGCTGCTGCCACAGGGCACCAGGGGTGGACCGTCCAGCTGGGGGATCAACGGAGGGGACCCTCGTCCAGCTGGGAATCACTGCCACACGGCATGCGCTTCCTTCTGACTGCCACACCCACCTGTGAGCTGATGGCTTCCGGATAAAGCCACGTCTACTGTGGCTGTCGCATCCCGGCACCCTCAGCCACCCCAGCCTGACCTCGGACAGGCTGCTGGTGCAGCGCCATCCATCAGGCCGGGGTTTCCCAACGACAGTGCAACCCAGAAACCGAAGCAGGCAAAGCAGCTCCACAAAGGGGAACGTAAATACCCACGCCAGAAAACTCACAGCTGTTCTGAGCGCATTACGCCATGTTGGCTAGGGCCCCCCAAACTTTACAGTCCTGTTCTCTCCCTTAACCATCGCAGTTCCCTCTGTCCCCCCTTCTCTCTCTCCTCCCCCTCCTCCCTCCCTCGCTTCCGTCCTCCCTTTCTCTCCTGCCGTGTCCCTCTGCCGCTAGCTGTCCTCATGTGCAATGGTGCGGCTGGGATGAACCATCAGGATCTGGGAGGACGCGTCCTATCGCTGTTTCACAAAGCCGGTCCTCCGCCGCCCCTTCCACGACAGACATGGTGACCTAAGCCCCTGGGCTTCCTCCCCACTCCACGTGAGGCCAAGGCCCCTAGGTCTCCCCATCCGTGGGCAGAACGGCACCTGGAGGACAGGCTGGGAGAGAAGCCCAAGAGCGAGGACGTGAAGGGAGAACGCACCGGCCCCTCCTTACCTTCTGTCCTTTATCCTTCTGAAACACAAAGACGGGCGGAGCAATGGCAGGCTTTTCTGCAAAGAGAAAAATCGGTTTTTTTCCCCCCAACACTGTATTCATACAGTAACAAAGCTACATGCGTTTGTAATAAGCTGGGGAAGAAACATCATACATACACAAAGCGAGTAACTCCAGAGAACAACGGCTCGCTTAGGACAGCGGCTTGACAGGCCCCGCCGGCGCAGGCGCTCGGTGTGAACCAACAGCACTGGGGCAGCGCGCCCCCTCTCTAAGCCCACTACGGTAAGGGCTGCCGGGACTCGCACAGCAGCCACGGAAATGACGGGTGGGTGTGTGTGTGGGTGTGGTTGTGTG